CCTGTTGTTAAAATATTTGAATCCCACCACTGGCCTAAAGGTATGTAAAGAATATACATGTAATTAAATACTACTGTGTGATCATTCTTTTATCATTTAATTGCGATTATTTCAGTTTATGTAATATTTTTTTTTCACAAAATAAATCCAAGAGGTTTGCAATGGAGATGAAGAAACACTTTAAAAAAATTATAAAACAAAAGGATTCATCAATTCTGTGTTAATATAAATCGAATTAAAATAAATCCTAAGCTGAATTTATAAAATTGTCTTCGTATCTATAAAATAAATGCTTGAATAAGGCATCATTTGTTGTTTCATAAGTTAAAACTAATTAATAGGTCAAAGAATCAGGTATTGGTGTACAAACATTAATATGTTAAATGAACTTACGTGTTTGAGATACTTCAAAGGAAAATGAATTTATTAGTGATTGATTAGAGGGTGACCAAAGAGTTTACTTTTTACAATTTCTTGCTCTAGTTTTTATGATCATAACTACAGTTAATTTCAAGTTAGAAATAAAGTAATTTTCCGTGTAATTGTTTGTGTAACACCAGTTTTCAATAATCATAGTTCGAATTATTTACTGAAGTAAAGATTTGCAGAATAATATGTAGTTTCTCTCTTAAATGTCCTAAACCTATTTTTCCTGTATCATACATTTACTTGTTTACCTTGTTTTGACCAAACTGCCGTCAACATATTTAATAATCGTAATGTTTAATTTTCATAAACCCAAATTGCACCATACTTCATTTATGAATAAATATGATTTTGTTAACATAATTATTAACATCTAAAATGACTTTTACATTTAACAATTTCTAATGTGTTAAAATGGCAGAGTCTTACCCAAATTCCTTATAACCGGTAGATTAACAGTGATACTACTCAACTGGGTGAATAACTTGTTCATTTTTGTTTTGCTGAGCACAAAGTTACACAATGGTCTATCTATTCTCTGCTCAATGCGGGTATCGAAACCAGATTTTTGGCATTATAAGCCTTAGATTTATCAATGAGCCAAGTGCAGGAGTATTTTATTTTAATTTTTAATATAAATTTAGAAATCTAGAATTTCCAACATTTACATGCAATTCTCATTAGGTTGAGTTAAAATTATAGTTACTTCGCATCATTAAGCAGAATTGATTGTTCATCACAATATAAATGTAACATTTACCCCTCAATAAAACAAAAATAAGACATATAAATAACAGTTATGAGACAATAAAGCGTTATCCAATAAACCACAGTTGATATAAAACGATATTGTAATAATATGTCCACCGATTACAAGACCGCTTTCTACAGCTGAAAATATACTAAAATAATTCATTGTTCAAAATATGTTAATTTTTTTATCCAACATTCTCTGCCTTTATTCAAAAACATTACCTAAGCATAATACGCAGGCTGATTATTATGTTAAGATACGTAACGGCAACAAAAAATTAGAGAAAAGCAACATATTTTTTGTGGATTATGTTAACCTGTTGTTATTAAAATGGTCACTTAGTGATTAGAGTGTCAGATTATGGATATGAAGGTTTCACTATTCGCGTTCTGTTGCTGCAAAAAAGAAGAATTGCGTTCCGCTCTTTGGGGTCATGGGTGTGTTATAAGAGAGACGGTAGGTGCTGTTTACTAGACTTCCCTCTTGTCTATAGGTTGAAAGTTAAGGATAGCTGGCATAGATAACTTTTGGTTAGCTGCATATAAGCTACCCCCTGTGCTAATATCTTCGGTAAATTATGCATTTATGGCAATGATCATGATCATCTTGGTCATCTCCGCTAGTCTCTAATTTTTGTACCCCCTGTGCTAATATCTTCGGTAAATTATGCATTTACGGCAATGATCATGATCATCTTAGTCAACTCCGCTAGTCTATAATTTTTGTACCCCCTGTGCTAATATCTTCGGTAAATTATGCATTTATGGCAATGATCATGATCATCGTATCTATCTCCGCTAGTCTCTAATTTTTGGATTGAATTTAACAACGCTTACTCGTGGTGTTGAAAAGGAGAAAAAACCCACTAAAACATCAAACTAATGGAACATTTCTACTTATCTAATAACCTATTCATAATAAAAATGACCGTCTAATTAATAAAAACGTGAAAGTAATTACCAAATTTATCCAAACGTTTGAAGTTTCACCTATTCACTAAACCTAGTCCAAGCAGAAAAAGTTTTATAACATTAATGCGGGTTTTTAAGTCCTTTTCAATCACCATTACAGTAACTTAAAGTAATTTAGGAGTTTGAATAATGTTAGATCTCGAAACATATTAAAATGCTCTTATTTGTAACATAATTGGAGGTCATGTTAAATACATACATAAATTTCTAAGTTACGCTACTGCTACGTTTCTTGAACTAACTATTGTTTACACTTGTATAATAATACTCTTCTATCTAGATAAAACAATCTGCTGCGCTACTTCAAACTAAGATGAGCTTTTATCAGGAGAGTGTGTTTTTCTGAATTACCTACATCGCGTACTTGAAGCCATTAAACATTTCATTTATACACAACTATAACTGTAACAATTCCAACAACATGTATCGCCGTTGCTATTAACCTTCTAAGGTAACAAACAGAATACAAACTCAAGTAACTCCAAGTCGAGCATGCTTTGATTAAAGCTTACATTGCTCATGTGCTTACAATGTAAAAACACTTACCTAACACCCAGAAAAAGTTATGTACATTGAGTATAAAGAGAAGTTTTAACGGTTACATTTAATATTCTAAGTTTATCTTAAATATACCTTAATAAATTCAGCTCCTGGAAATTGATAAACTTTGCCAACATCAATAAAAATATTACCTTTTTTTACACACTTATATTTCAAACTGAATCTTATCCATTTATACTAAGAAGTGTGTTTAATTAAATTTTTCTTCAGGTAATTTTATATACACACACACATATATATATATATATTTTATTATCTTCACACGTGAATATATTGTTTTGAGCCATTTCATCATACAATACAGAAGCACTTCCAAGAAAGTTTTGGCACTAATCAACTTCCCTTTTTGAGCTAGAATTCCACTTCTTAAATAAGGGCGCTAGATAATAGAATGCTAAAGCTTTTTAACATGAGTGAAACTAAACCTTCATTATCTACAGCTATAGTCTTTTATTCAGCTGCAGATTGTTTGACACCAGCACAATCTTTATTACGTCTTTCCGATTTCGGGGACACAAACTACCAAACTGAATTTTGTAATGGTTAGTCCACTATCTTATCAAAGTCAATACGGCAATTCAAACTACCAAACTGAATTTTGTAATGGTTAGGCCACTATCTTATCAAAGTCAATACGGCAATTCAAAGTGCAAGCCCTAGAAACTCGTGATCATTCTCGTGCAATTCTTGACACTAATTCAATGTATTGTCTTAAATTTCATAGATGTATCAAATAAAAATAAATCGCCACCAATGCTGGAATAACGTGGAGTTTTCGAGGGCGTAAACCTGAAAATAAAGAATTACTCTGTTTTAAAGATATTAACAAATTTTTGTTCCTAAGTTAAGATAATCGTCTAGTTCGTAGACAATCTGTTAGTCAAGCAAATGGAAATTATAATTTTTCTCTTTTCATTATTTTATCCTGTGTAAATACAAAATACTATAAAACATATAACTAAGATTTTCGTTACTGGCTAAACCCATCGAGGTTTTTACATATGTAGAAACGCTTAGAAAATGCTCATTTGAAAACGATAACAAAAACAATACAATTAAAAATACTGCTAATCGGTTTAAATTGTTATTTTACCATTTGAACACTGGTGATAATTATAATTAAAATAAATCAAGGAATAACTTTTCTCTAGTTAAACACAAGCTGGTTAAAAAAATGCTTAACAAAATATTCCATTATTGTAGCACATAGTGTAATTACTTTAATACATTGTGTATTATTTTAATATTACTATTGTTAACCACATAAAATTACTATAACAAATAGTGTATTACAATAACTGTTTTCACTCGCTGTACACACCGAGATTTTCGCAAGATATTTACCATACTTCTAAATATTGACGATGCAAAAGGATACCTACTTTCTGCTCCTGAAATTCTTTTCACAGTGAGTGGATCTGAAATTAAAACATGCTTAAAAAAAGTTGTAACGGAAACGTCTTATCTTACACCTATTGTTAAAGCACTGAAATAAATGTACAAAATTTCTATAAACATCTGACACTCCATGAATAAATATAGTCATACATAAAAATTGTAATGTTGTACACACTTTCCATTCATTTCGCAAAATTTTAATGTAAGGAATACTTGTTAGATCAGCTTGTTTTCACTGTGCTGCAAAAAATGTCGTCTACAAATTTCTGCTGCCGAAATGACTCTGCAGCTTTTCATTTGTGAGTAACTGAAATCTTCATGCTGGGGTTGGAATGAATCTCACTGTGATTATTTTGGTAATCATATGTTCCGGAATTATCGATTTACATTTGAACAGGATGTGTATACATCTTTATGAAATTAAAACTGCATAAAATAGTTTATGTAGATTCATGCAAAATTATGAAAATTCTATATGGGACAACACTTTTTTAAACTTGTATACTTTAATATTTCGTCCCGATTTGCTCAAAGAAATAAAATGTTAATTTAGATTTGGGGATTGTAAGTAATATGGTAGTTTATATCGAAAAGTCGTCTTTCAAACCCACTTTTGTCATATTCCTAAAGAACTCTGAAAAATTACAATAATTCGGTTTACATAAAACAACAAAAGTTATAGGACGAAATACGACAGAATGGCATTAATATTACAAATTAATGTTGAGATTGTGATAGCTGAATACTGTGTTAATGGTTGTGCACCAGGGCCCAGCATGGCCAAGTGATTAGGGCGCTTGACTCGCAAGCTGAGGGTCGCGGGTTCGAATCTTAAACTTAATTAAAATTCACAATGAAGTTACCATAACTATTAAGATTTTACACCTATAATAAATTGCACAATAAGGTGTCAGCAGAGATGGCGACATCTAAATAAATTGTGTTTTATGGACATTGAGCATATGTAGTATCATAAAACATAAGAATTATGGAAAACTAACAGGCACTGAGTTATGTGTCTTTCTCTTGTGTGTGTGTTGATATCAGATCTAAGCTCACTATATGTACTTTGTTTTAGGTATCCATTACTGATAGGTAATGTATCATTGTACTTGTAATATATTTTTTATATATTCACGTGCAATAAAACAATAATAAGATGCAATATTTTACCTTGAATAGTTCATATAATTCACTGAAAACGTTTTTAGGACATCTCTATTGGGAAACATTCTATAGTAATAAAATGTTAAGAAACAAATAGTGACTTTAATATTTTTATTCAGATATACCAAGAGGAAGGACAAGCATATTACGTTTAACAAATAGAAAACTATCAATACGTGAAATATATAGTTAGAATACTGAAAAGCCCTTTCAGTAGGTGAATATATCCATGGAAATGACCAAAGTTGTTAAATAACGTTGAAAAAATTTCCAAAACGAAACGACTGCAAAGACGACTTCGTGGACAATGGTTTGTTTTGGTGAAATAAGAGATTAAATGATGTTTAAAAAATTATCAAATAACATATGAGAAAGTAAAAAAAAATATTGATTTGTAGAGAAATCCTAATATTCTAAACAAAGTCCCCCTAAAAAGGCTTTCTTATCTGTTTTCAGTAATTAAGCTTCGGCTGATGAAATTATTGAACTTTTCATTATAATATCAAATTTCTTTCGTATGGGATGTTGTTTTCAAATATTAAAAACACATATACTTAGAAACTGTTACATACATTTTATAGTAACACACGGCCCGGCATGGCCAGGTGGTTAGGGAGCTCGACTCGCAATCTGCGGGATCGAATCCCCGTCACACCAAACATGCTCGCCCTTTCAGCCGTGGGGGCGATATAATGTGACGGTCAATCCCACTGGTGAAAGAGTAGTCCAAGAGTTGGTGGTGGGTGGTGATGACTAGCTGCCTTCCCTCTAGTCTTGCACTGCTAAATTAGGGATGGCTAGCGCAGATAGCCCTCGTGTAGCTTTGCGCGAAATTCAAAACAAACAAACAAATAGTTGTGCACAAGGTTTTAAGGTGCACTCTAGAGCCGATTGAAGTTATTTTTGTGTTAATAATTAGAAACTACGAACGATATACTATTGTTACTTAGTATCTGAAACTCACAAAGTGTAGTAGGACTATAAGAGAGTTAAATTGTTAAAAATTTTAAACTTGAATTCATGCGTGAGAATTACATTGTTAGTAATAAATAAATGGGACTCGTATTCCAATAATAAACTGTTAGAAATTAGTAAGTAGTACTCGCCTACGAGTAATGCACTGTTAACAAGTAGTAACAGCGACACACACGAGTAACACACTGTTAACAATTTGTAATAGCGACACACACATTATTAATACACTGTTAACAATTTGTAATAGCAACACACACATGATTAATACACTGTTAACAATTAGTAACTGGGGTTCTGACACTATGAACATTTAAAGGCTGAGACGATGTGTGCAATACACGCTGTTAATAGTTAGTAAGTATAACTCACACACGAATAATGCACTGTTAACAGTCAGTAACAGGGAAACACACACGAGTAATATGCTATTGCTGATTGGTAACAATAACTCACAAAGCGTAATAATGAGAGTATATAGAGTTAACATCGTGTTAACAATTGGTAACTGAGTTCATATGTTAGGTTAACAATCAGCTACAGAAAAGCTTCATCAACGTCATGAAATTATCAAAATAATTAAGTTATTACTAAGAGCCCATATTACAGTGTCAAAAACATCAATAACATATATTAAAATTATTGTAATTATGACGGGTTATAAAGGATGAATTGGGAAGTTGTGAGAAAAATTCATAAAACTGAATTCAGTTTACATTCCATATGGAAACAAACAAACGACAGTCGTCGGTTAATACTTTCTTCTTTGTCACAGCGTTTCTCTACTAATTTGGTTGTTTGATTCTGATTGAGTCATAAGCATAAACAAGCGAAACAGTAGGATTGAAGTGGAACTTACCAACATAATTTCGAAATTGGTAAAAAGCTTCAAACCCTGTTCCATCAAATTTTCCGTTGGACTTGAAGGCAACGCGAAAAAAGTCTCCATCAGAAGTGATGATTTTAGGTTTCTTAACACCACAGTGTCTTGGAATTTTTCTATCCACTGTACGAAAGTTGGAAAATTCTACAAAGTCGCTAGCCAAGTCAGTCGTACACCTAAGTACATTTCAATTGATTAATCACTAAACGTTTGACACTAATGCTAACCCATAATAATATTGGTATGTTTCCTTTAAATTATACTATTATACCATTGTAGTATATGAGGACATTTGCTATCCAAAACCAGATGATATACTTTATTAACTCCTGCTAATTGCCATATTCATATAAAGAGCTGAAGAGTTCTTAAAATTAAACTAGAATTCACCAACTTACAACAGTCTTTTTAAAAATGAAAACATATCTTACTGATATACAGTACATGTCCGAAAAATGTAATAAAACTTAATAAATCATTTATTTATCTAGCTATGATCTTTTTAAATCAAAACTTACGGTGGAACGCCCTCTACATCAAAATATGCAAATGTTAAAGTAATGCGCTCATTTCCACTTCCGAAGAAAAAATAATGACATTCTGTCGCTCGAGGGTAAAACCCAGGGTAGTTAGGAGATGTGAAGGAACCGTTTGTTCTTTCAGTGCTGTTAAAGATGAATCCACACACTAAAAAAGTACAAAAACAATTATTTTGTCAACCGATGGAAAAGACCAGAGTAGAGAGTAGAGATTAATATATATAAATTTTTTGTATTTATTTACACGGTATAAAAAATAGCATAACTTTAATTTCTATCTACCGCTATACAAACTATTGAATACTATTATGGCAATTTTATAATACCTAGGTTAATTACTTAATTACTAGGTTAATGTTACTTGAGAGCAAATCACAAACACTGTATACATAAACTGCAGTTTCCCGCCAAGTTTCTTCTTTGTCCAGGAATACAGACAAATTCGAAGGGAAAAACCATTCCACAAAAACAATCTTAACTCAGTGACGTGTGACAAATATATGAAAAGACTGAGACTTATGATCGTTTTAATTAAAACGCACAGTTTTTAGTTATAAGCAAAATTACATCTTGTTTATAGTTTTCCCAGAGTTTCAGTGATGGGTACAGGAAGGTGGCTGAGTGGGCTCAAGCCTCTGTCTTCTCTCCGAAAAGTGCCCCTTTTCTCAGCCATAAAGAATTTCAACAACTATTGAAAGATACGCCTGATTCCTACACCTTCCTTTGCTGCGAGTTATTAGGTAAAAAAAGCTATAAAATGAACGACACACAGAAACTTGTAGGTCTTTGCAGTAAAAGAATGATTGTGATATGCCATTAAGTATTAATAAGGAAGAATTCAGTGCTTAAGTTGAGATTTCGAAAGTGTTTATAAGATCGACTGAATAAGAATAAAAGATGATCTATTTGCTTTACATGGCTTTCTATCTATATGTACTAAAGGCAATCCATAGTATCCAAACTTCCCCTAACACCTCCTTCCCCCTAAAACGTCTTGCCCTTTTAATGTCCTCTGCAGGTTACTGCGCAGTTTTGTTTGTTTGTAGTTAAGCCCAAAGCTACTCAAAGGGTTATCTGCTGTGCTGTGCTCACCACTGATATGGTAATTCGGTTTTGGGTGTTGTTACAAGCCGTCAGGCTTATCACCGTGCCACTGGGGGGCATGTACTCGCAGAATAACACAGAACTATTACTGGGGAAAATTAACGCTACCTATTTTGTTTTAAATACTTACTTTAATGTGAGTTAATAGTGGTGAATAAAGGACATTTTAAACATAAACTACAATTCCCACCAGGTGTTTTTTTTGGGGTGTGTGTGTGATAAACTCATTGCCACGGTGTATCTGAGAATAAACTGGACCTCAAATTTTGGTTTAATCAACATATAAATATTTTGTGAATGGGAAATACTACTAGAAATAAGCTCTTAATTATGGAAATACATTAGCAACTGTTACATTTATAAGTAGCTCTTGTGATTAGGTTTCAAATTGGTTCAGATTGTCTGTAAAAATCATATATTATAGAATTAACTTATCACTCTTATGTTATTTCAATAATAAAAACAAAAACGCAAGAAAACACAATAGATTACTTCTTTACCTATCCGTGGTTTATAAATAACGCAATATTATTACATCCCAATACAAATTCCAACATGCCCCTAAAATTGACAGTTAAACGAAAAGTTCAAATACGCTTCGTGCAGGAAGCACGAATTTACCCGCTATGTAATCTACGCGCTTAGCTTTAACAGTCACAACTTCATTAATTTTCGATGCTCTACAGCTAACACATCGCGCGAAATATGATATACAAATGCGATTTAGACACATATAAATACAAAAAATTAAAAAACAACAACAACAAAACACATAACAACAGTTGATTTTAAAAATTAACTATTTTATAACTATCACCCGTTTCCAACTATCTTAATACCGGCGTCTGAAAATCTACAGTTTGGCCTAATGTTTAAATACGCTTCGCTTCTTACTCTCCGAACGAGTTTACCCGCTAGAGGAATAAAATATTACGCAATATCCGTTTAATGTGGGTAAGAAACCCGACACTTTGTTAACACTTTAGGGGAGAGTAAAAAAAAGAAGAAAAAAAGAGAGTTTATACCATTATGGAATGAAAAAGAAAAATAAGTGAAATAGCGACAAACGAAGACAGTTGATTTTTTTTAATTCTCGATACCATAGCATAATTTTATAAATTCACTATTTTGTAACGTAACGTTATGAAAAGTTGTGTACGTCATTCCACGTTTTTACACTTTATTACTTAAAATCTAAATACAGTAATTATATATTCTGCTTAGTAAGTTTTTGTTTCATTCCTGTCCAACTGCACAATACAACAACAGAATTATTTAAAGGATTTATCTGTTTAAAACATATACTCTTCTCACACATATATAGTGTTGCGTCAGCGAGGTCACGTGACTGGTATCACGCCACTCCTTCTCTCGAACCTTCGTGAATTATCGGGAGATTACTAGATTGGGGGTAGCCTGGTATATATAAGATGGTCACAACGTGACGAGAACAGTGTAGTGAGTAATTTAACTGCAGTCGGAGAGTGTGTAATTGAACTAAGTATTGTCGAGCACGAGCAGGTGAGACGTTCTAGCGTTTGTTATAGAGCGACTGTTGAAAATAAGTGTATCGGTAAAGTTATATTCAGAAAGAATAAACCAGTTTTATTAAGAAAGGACTTGTGTCGCTAAAGTTTCGTGGGAACGAAGTTGCGGAAAATCAACTAACGAACGGAGACGTAACAATAGCATTTCACTTCATAATACTGCATACGTAAAAATATCTTTGGGATTTGGCTCATATGGTACAGCACACGCTTGGTACGCGGGAAGGTCGAGAATTCAAGTCTGTCTATATTAATTTTTTTTTTTTTTGCTAAACAACGCTTCATTAGCATATAATATCCATCGTACGCGAAACACAAGTTTATTCCCTAGTATGTTATATAAACTGAGCATTCATTAGATTTGTTAAATAGAGAAATACTGAAAAATAATATGAGGTAATGCTGTAATACTTGGTCAAACTACTTGTCAGTAAATAACTCAATCGATTTTTAAAAATATAATTAATAATTTATTTTCATAGGCACACGTTAAAGTCGTGAGACCCGAATAAAATTCTCTTCTTGAAAAACTTAAAATTTCGCAGAGTTTTAGGTAAAAATAAATAGTAAATAACTATGGATTATTTATAGTAACGAGGTAGATAATTACATAAAAATCTCACGTCATTTTTTAAATGAAAGGAAAAAAATCAAAACATTACCTTGTTGGGGGTCTTGTACTCCAGCAGATATTCCAAAGTCTTCAGGATAATATAATTAAAGTTGTTTAGAATATCATAAAAACAATATCATACATGTAACTAGATTTTCTCATACACAAAATATCATTATTGATATCTGTTACTACAGTTATTCTGCAAATCGAACTTTCTTTTTTTCTAAATAATTTTACAAAAAAGACTTATACTGTAAATCTACCACGTATACTACGTGAAATAAACGTCATTTTTATATTGACTAGAGAGAATTGTTTGTTTTTCAATGGGTTATCTGCGCCCTGTGGACTGAGGGGAATGGAAAACAGGATTTTAGCACAGTAAGTCTAAAATCATTCCGCCGAACTATCGGGGAACGAATTGAGCAAAAATCATTTAGTGCTAGATAAGTCTTTATTACTATGAATAATTGAAAAAAAGTTTTGTTCAAATGAACTGTTTCGAGACCCATTCTCTCAAAAAATCACCCGCCGGAATTTGGGGTCATGGATGGGTGATGAAGCTGATGGTCAAATATCATTCTTCTATTAAATAAGAATAACCAAAAAGTTGGCGGTGGGTGCTGTTGGCTAGCTGCCTTTCCAATTGTCTAGTAGTTCCGAACCGGGAAAGGCTAGCGCAAATACGTTTCGAATCAATCAAACAAAAAACCATGTTAACGAAAAGCTTGAGGTAAATTATATAACAAGTCTGTTTCAAAAAAGACAACCTACAGACACTTTTTTACCAAAATGAATAATACAGAGATTACATATAAGTCATATTTACCGACACTATAAGCTACAGGCTATCTTAAGAAGCAGCACTTACATATGAACAAACACAAAATAATGAATAATACAGAGATTACATACGAGTTACATTTACCGACACTATAGCCTACAGGCTATCTTAAGAAGCAGCACTTACATATGAACAAACACAAAATAATTTACAGAAAAGCGACACGTACTGGTGACAAATCGGTAAATAGCCCGGAATCCTTTCGGGGCTAAAAGAGGCTGATAGCTCTTGAATTCAACAGATATTGATGGACCGTTGGACATCAGTTGAGGAGGGAGGTTGTTACCACAGAAGTTGTTAAGCCTCTCTTTCTGCCCGTTGATGGTGATGAATACCATGACAACGTCAGTAGGGCCCGCACAGCTGCAAGAATTGAGACGGTGTTTATCTATATACTACTAAAACTCTGAGATTATTTGTTTGTTTGTGTGCTTGTCTG